ATATCTTGCGAAGTTAATTATGTTTATTTTTAACTAAATTTAAAAAGTCGGTGAAGTAAAGCGAGGCAAAGAATTAATAAAACTAAAATCCTATATTAATCCGCAAGCAGTGTAGACTATCAGCGAAGTAAGATTGAATAAAATATAAGTTCAGGCCAACCTTAAATAGCAAACTGTCGAAGATTGCATTACCAATAAAATATTTTAGCAATAGAGAGACGTTCATTTAAATTCAACTTAAGAGGGTAGCTATAAAGGTTGGTTCGGCTAAATATGAATAAAACGATGAATATAAAATAGTTCGATTCAAATTTATCCTTTTTTATGGAATATAATGGGCACAAGAATATGGCCTATAGACTAGATATTATGCGGAAAAATCCCATTAAATATTGTATATTTAAATATAATGACCTCACATATCTAAGTTAATTATTCGGGAATTTATTTTAATGTTTGCTTATAAAGGCACACTTATTCGACATTTGCTTTTTGTTGCTTTAACTACTCCGCTCGTTGTTTTAACGTGTGATTCCTTAATTGCGCGTACAATAATAATAGCCTATATTTATAATTTCATGCATTTACAATATAATATAGGCCAGTTACTGCACAGTTTCACTTTACCGCGCAATGCCTTTTGAGCCTGGTGATAAAGTATTTGCAAAAATCAAAGGATATTCTAATTGGCCAGCCAGGGTAATTGAGGTTCGGTTGTCAAATTCAATTCAGATCAACCCCCTCCCTCTTGGTGTACATATTCCCAAAGGAAAATTTCCTATCTTTTTTTATGGAACCCATCAAGTGTTAGTCCATTATAATGCTTATCTTTAGTTCTTTTGTCGCAGCAAAAAACATATTTCCTTTCGAGAAATATAAGCAAAAGTGGGGACTACCGAAGTCTAACCCTCAGTTCAGGGCTGCCTTGAATGAAATTGAAGAACTTCCTGATGTTCTCATGCTTGGAAAGGTAAATATATTCTATTTTTGATGCAATAGGATCCTGAAGCTGAAGCATTCCTCTCCAGTTGCTATGACTTTGAACGTGCAGGTATAGCGCTATATCTAGTCTTCTCTCTTCTCGACTCCCTTATTTTTTTCTCCTTCCGCATTCCAGATACAAATTCTACTGCCTGTGATAAAGACATGAAGGAGCGGAGTGATGTGGCTTCAGATCATTCGGGCTCAATCGAGCGGGAAAATTTATTCAAACAACAAACTTTTTCAAGTGGCCAGAAAAACTTGCCTCCTGCTGTGAAAGAGCTAGAAGATGTCGACGAACTTCCTGAGCTTGAGCGAGAGGATGATGAGCTAAAAATGAATAAAACTGGTTTAGGTTTCCAAGCCTCGTCAAAGAAAGGCAAACGCAAATCTAGATGTTCTAATAGGACTAAGAAATGTCCCAGAAAATGCGTGTCTAATGGTTCGAAAATTCGTTCTCAATCTGTCACTTCAGAAGACAGTGTGACGATTGATGAACTCGCCAGTACGCTTATATTTCTTAATATCTATCTTTACTATTTATTCTTACTAATCGATGTATATCCTTCTAGTCTGTGCTCAACCGAAGTCTACCCTCAAGCAGGGCTCTTCAGGTGCCAAATCTAAATCTACCCGATCTAAAGGCTTCAGAGAAAAGAGCTTAGCTTCGCGCAGCCCGCATAGGTCCAAAGTGGATACGAGTGATGAAAGTAGCCTATCTTCACTTGAGTAAGCTGTAATTTTTTATTTACTCTTATCCTTTCGATAACAATGGAATTTTATTACTATTCTACCTCGTGTATTGCCCCGTTTACATTGTCCTTATTGTTTACCTTACAGGGCAATTGAGGAGCTCGTTGAGCACAACTTTACCTGTTGGAGACAAGATGATCAAAATAGGTGCCAAGGGGCGGAGGCGAAATTACGCGAAGTGGAGGAAGTGTATGTAGCTTTCTTCGAATTCGACTGCTTTGAATTTATTTGCTATTTTTTGAAGATTAACGTCCACTTTGGGTTTATTGGCGTCGCAACTCTTAATAGTACTCAATGAATTGGA